TTTTTTAACAATATAATGTCAGTATTTTACGACATATAACATAATAAAATTTGAAATATTGGTAACGAATTATTTAAACATAGATAGAATATTCATGAACATCCATCGCATTATAAATGTATTATTAATATTATTGAAATGAGCGACTTAAGGAACTATTTTGGCACTAGAATTCACATCACTCAAATGATGTTTTTATTTTCAGCTTTTTTCTCAACTTTTTTGCCTCAAAAAAAAAATAAATAAATAAAAATTGTTATTTTCATCTTTTTTGTCAACTTCTTCACAAAAAAAAAATTTTTTATTCTCTTCTTTTTTTTGTCAATTTTTTCTCCGAAAAAAATTTATTTGCAGCTCTTTGGAAACTTTAAAAAAAAAATTAAAATTAATCTATTAATTTTTAAATTTTTATTATTATAATTATTAAATTAAATAAATTAATATAGTAGGAAAAGTTAAAAATAAATTATAATTAGAAATGTTATGAAAAAAATGAAAATGATAGATAGTAAAAGAGAAATTAAATAATTTATTTAAAAATGTAGAAGGAAAAGAAAATTAAATTAATTAAAAATTAAATTAATTTTTAATTAATTAAATTAATTAAAATGGTAAGAAACAAAAAGAAATTATATTAAAATGCCAGAAGAAAATATTAATTAATTAAATAATAAAATATTAAAAAAAAAAAAAAAGAAAAAATGAAGCAAAATTTGAAAAGCTAAAAATTAGAAAACATCATTTATTTTTATTTTTAGCACTTTTTGAGTGATAGTTGTATGACTTAAATTAAGTACTCTCTTAATGCATACATACCTAGTTTATAATCAGTTTACTTATTATCTAAAGATTCGTAATTCTTATTTTTCTAAATTCGAGTTTCTTTTACATCAGTGTCATAAAAAATTGTTATTAAAGTTGGTACGCTTTTTTTTATAGCCTCTAGCTATATATATATATTATATACTGAAATCGGCTCACTATCATTATACAAAAATTGTCTTATCAATTCTTATCTAAAATGTACACGACTTTGTCGTGACGGTTTTTTTTGTCCCCTTCCAGTATGAAAAATTGTTTCGCACTAATATTCTTTTCTCAGCTTTTTTATATAGTTATTTTTTTTTTTTTTTTTATTACTTATGTCCAAACTTATTTTTTGTTATTAAATTATTATTTGAATAAAACATTTTTTTTAAAAGCAAATTATTTTTTTGTTTTAAATGATCGAAGAAATGAGTATAATAAGAGAAATGTAAGTTTTTCTGGTCTGTTGAAAGTTTAGTGATAGAAAAAAAATTTTTTGTTTGATTCAAGTAAAGGAGTACTTGGTTATTATTTATTTGATTTGAACGCAGAAAATATATATTTTGACTCAGTGTGCACTGAACTTTTTATTTTTTCAAATTAAATTTGTTTGGTTCAAATAAATTTTATTTAAGCGAAATAAACTTTCATTTGTTTTAGATAAATTTAATTTGGTTTAAATTAAATTTATTTTCAATCAAACAAAAGTTATTTGGTCCAAATTAAATTTTATTTGTTTCAAATAAATCTTGTTTGGTTCAAAACAAATTTTATTTGGTACAAATCAAATTTTTTTTCAAATAAAGTTTAATTTGAAGCAAAAAAAAAATATTTAAAACAAATAAAATTTAATTTGGACCAAATAAAATTTGTTCAAATCAGATTTTATTTGGTTCAAATCAAATTTTATTTGTTTTAAATTATTTGTTTCAAATTAATTGTTTAAATTTTGTTTAGTTCAAATCAAATTTTATTTGGTCCAAATTAAATTTTATTTGTTTTATATAATTTTTTTCTGCTTTAAATTAAACTTTATTTGAAAAAAATAAGATTTATCTCAAATAAACTATATTTGCATTAAACAAAATTTTTCTCCAGGTGTAAATAAAAATTATTTGATCCACGTAAATATTTATTTGACTTAAATAAAAATTAAATTTGAAAGAAGTTAACAATTTTAAATAAATTAAATAAAATTAATAATAAAAATTATTTGAAACAAGTTAAAATTTATTAAATGTAAATATTGATTTAATAATACACGAGTAATCGATTATTTGAATAAAGTAATTTTTTTTCAGTGTTTGTATTTCTTGTTTATTTGTTTATTTTTTTTCATTAGTGTACTTGTAACATGTTGATAGTAGAAAAGCCCAAAGTTCGATTTGTGTAATATTTGTTAAAATGGCAATTTCCTGTTTTTCTTTTCTTTGCTGTGAGACCAGTTGGCCGACGATGCGTGTAAAAGCGAGTTTATTCTCGTTGGCCTCTTGCAAGTTTTCCAATTCGGAATTACAGTGGGAACGAGAGGAGGATTTACTTGTGCTGAATTGGATACCTAGTATCCATTTCCGGTTTCGGCGGTAGTTCCATTATAACTTTGCAAACGTTTTCCATCCCCTGTATGTGTATCTATATAGTATATATACCAAAAGCTCACATCACTTTTCATTCCCGATTTCGTCTCTCGCGTCTCACAAGTAACAAACTAAAGGAAACGACAATTAGAATATCTCTTCTTTGGTAAGTAGTTTATTATTGTTTTAATTAAAGACTGCGTGTTTACTTTCACAACTGCATTAAAGTTCCAAATAACAATTTTCTAATGTGTACTTTAAATTTAATTTCCCTTGAGAAAAAATATACATATATTTAAACTCGAAATTTTTCTTTATATTAAATCTTCCAATAAACAATTAGTTTACTTCCTTTATTTGCCAGTTAGTAACAATTTCCCGTTTCATGTAAATAAATCTTTCCTAAATGTTGCTCTCGTGTTATTTTGTTGTGCAAAAAAAAAAAAATAAAAATGTGACAAGCTCTGAAGAAGGTACCTAAGATGCAAAAAAATTCAAGGTTATGTTTGTAACTTTAGGAAACAAAATACACAAAGAAGATAAACTCTTAAAATAAAATACGGATGTTTTAGTCTTTATTACCTCTAAAATAATTGAGAAAAACTGATTTTAGTTTTAAATTTAAAACAAAAACATCTAATTAAGGTAAAAACAACAACAAACATAACCTTAAAATAGTTTTTTTACTTTGGAAGCAAATTATTTTTTATTAATTTTCCATAATTAAAATTCTTCTGAAATTAGTTAAATTCTTTAATATATATTTAATTAATTATTAAAAATAATGAATTTATAGAAGAATTTTAGTTAAAAAGACTAAAAAAAAATTTATTTTTGGAAAAGTTACAAGTGATTGCAAAAATTCAATTCTTTTCAAACATTTTTTTTAAATTCTCGTCAAAATTTCAATTATTTTTATATAAATAATCAAATTCATCTCTGAAATTCAATTATTTTGAAGAATTGTAATAAAATTCTTAGCAATTTTCAATTATTTTCAAAACATTTCCGGAATTCAATGATTTTCAATTAGTATATCTATTATTTTAATAAAATTTTAAAAAAGAATTCAATTATTCAAAAAAATTTTTGATAAAATTCTACGCAAAAATTTAATTACTTTCATAAATTATAAAAATTTTACAGGAATTCAATTCTTTATAATTTATATTATAAATTATTAAGCGACAGTTCCATTATTTTTATAAATAATTATTTTCAAAAGTAATAACATTCTTCAAAAAAATTCATTTATGTTCAAGAATTTTTCTAAATTCTCGTAAAAATTTTAATTATCTTTATAAATAATAAAATTCTTCTCTGAAATTTAATTATTTTCAAAAATATTAATAACATCCTTCGTAAAAATTGCATCATTATTAAACATTTTGATAGAAATTTTTGTAAGAATTCAAGTATTTTTAATAAAAAAAAGCCCATGAGCTTATCGAGATTTATTTAAGATATTTAATTTATTTGTGTAAAGATTGATTCGGGAAAATTGTTAACTTCTTCAAATTTAATATTTAATCACCGAATGATAAATTCACTTGCTTCAATTATTTTTAATAAAGTTTAAATTATATCCTTCAAAAGAATTGAATTATTTTTAATATAATTTTAATAAAATTCTGATAAACAATTCAATTATTTTCAAAAAATTTAAATAAATACTTTGAAAAATCCAATTATATTCATAAATAAAAAAATTCATGGTAAGAATTCAATTATTCTCAAAATATAAATTTTCGAAAGAATTCAATTATTTTTAAAGATTTTAATAAAATTCTCTGCATATAAATTCAATTATTTTGAAAATTTTTAATAAAATTCTTTATGAGAATTCAATTATTTTGAAAAAGTTTTGATAAAATTCTTTAGGATTCAATTATGTTGCAGACGAATTTTAATTAAATTTCGCGAAAGATTTCAATTAGATATTTTAAAAACTTTTTGTGATATTTTTCGCAAATTTTCAATTATTTTCAAAAATTTTGTTAAAACTATATTTGAGTTTAATAATTTTTAATACAATTTTAATTAATATTCATGAAAAGAATTAAATACTTTTCAAAAATTATCCTCCATTAAATGATTTGCAATATTTATTATTTTAATAAAATTCTCCAAAACAATTCAACTATTTAAAAAGAAATTTGTTATTAAATTATACACAAACCTTTAATTATTTTCATAAATAATAAAAATTTCACATTCATTAAATTATTTCCAAAATTTTTTATAAATTACTTCGCAATAATTCCATTATTTTCATAAATAATAAAATTTTTTACACGGATTCAGTTATTTTCATAAGTAATAATTTTTAATTTAATTTTAATCGAATTTTTCGAAAAATGTAATTATTCTTAAATTTCTTAAAATTGAATTGAAATAATATTTTTATTGAATTTCAATTGGTTTGAATTTGAAATTTTTGAAGATCTGAATTTTTCATAATTTTAACTAACAATTCTGTAGAATTAATTTTTTTAAAAAACTTTAATTGAATTTCTTTTTGAAATTATTTCAAGTTTTTATTTTCTATTATATATTTAATTAAAGAATTTGCAAAGAATTGAATTTTCATAAATTTGATTATAATTTGGTGCTTTCATGAATTACATTAAAATTTTTAACATGGATTTTAATGTCTAATAACCAAACTGTCAGTTCCAGTTGAAAATTTGAAAAAGAAATAAATAATTCCGATTTTATAGAGTAAAAAGGTAAAAAAGTGTCTTTTTACCCCAGTTTACTCTAATCAAGTTCTACAGTTGGAAATCGGTATTATTAACGACAAAATAGTTGAAATTATTAACGAACATTAGAGGTGGGCGTATGTTGTATATTTTAGTCGGCACGCAAATGGAAAATTACATTATTATACAGTGCAATTTAGTTGACAAAACAGTGAATCTACTTACTGCAGTGGGTGGAGCAGTATACTCACTGTAATTCCATGCATATGCACTGCTATGCAAGTTCGTTAGCTAGCAATTGTTTTCTGTATACTTTACATTTCTTGTTTACTAAATTTATAAAATTTATCATTCTCCAATAATTTTGACCGCGGTTAAAATTATTCAAAAAATTACAAAAAAAATTGTATGTAATCTTAAAAATATTTTCTTAATATTGAAAATAGTGAATCCTTCTCTAAAGAAGAAACTAGAGAAAGAAAACGAAAGTGAAACCCGAGAGCAATAATGAGAAAAATAACTAATTTACGGGAGAGAGAAAAAAATTGCAAGTGTGATTTAAAAAAAAGTTCAAATTAATTAGAGAACATTGTCAGGTTTTGTTTTACTGTAGAATATACATTATTTGATTAATTTCAATCAATTTAATTATTCACCTGTCCCCCCTTGCTTTTAATACAGTTAATTCTCGAAACTCTTATTCCCTTTTCTTTTTAAATCTGATCTCTTTGAAAATTAAACTTGGCAATCGGTTAATTTTCTTGATTGTCGAACTTTGGAAATTATCTTCATTTACCGGAGAAATACGAGAGAGAAAAGAAAGATTGAACTCAGAAGAAATGGTAGATAAATGATTTATACTCCATTTTGCGGAAACTTTTTTTCAAAGCTTACGTTTTGGAATTGTATTTGTTTGTTGATTTGAAAAAATTTTAGCATTCACAATTTGTCATTGAAACCATACATTGTAAATTTGTAAACAAAAGGAAGATTAACATGTTTGTGTTCGAATGTGTATGAAGAGACAAGTTTCTATAAAGACTTGGTTTTTTTTATGATAATATATCGAAGATCCATCACTTTTGGAATGCGTACAACTTCAAATGTGAGAGTCCCTGGTTGCAATTTTTAAGGACGGATTAACTTTCCTTTTCCTCGATCGGACTGACCTCGTTCTGAAGGAGTTCAAACTTGGGACTTAGCGCCGGTAGTATACTCTTGGTGCTGGTCTTGATCTGACTGTAAATGTCTAGTGCCTTCTTCCGCTCCAATTCCAAGGTCTCTTCGATCAATCTCGGCGGTATGCTTCCGGTTCGTTTGTGGCAGGGAACAAATGTACTGCTCTCTGGCTTCTGATCTTTCACCCTTTCGGCCTTGTGATGCTCGGGGGTCAGTGTACCGTTACCCAGCTTCCTCTGCTGCTCCTGTAATCATTTTTTTCAATCAGTTAACCGCACATCTTTTTCCATTAATTAATAATTATACTTTATAATTATATTCATTATGCATATATAATTAATAATTATACAAAAATAAATAAATCATTGAATAATTGAATGTTTCTTGTATGATCTAAATTTAGAAATCTAAAATCTATTAATTACGATATCTTATAATTTCTACGTATTTTTATTCATCACCTGAAAAGTGTCTTCCTGAGCAACGTCTTCTTTAAGAATCGCTCCGGTTATAATTGGTTTTGTTAGTATTTCTATTTGACCAAAGTCATTGTTCAGAACTTTTTGTTCCATGAGTTCAAGTTTATTTGGCGTTGTTCCATTAACTTGAAGATTAGGATTTGATTTGACTGTATCAGTTGAAAGACTCATATCACTTGAATCCTGATGTTCGAATGACGAACCTGATTCATGGGGAGATTCCAAACTGTTGAAATTCTCTTGAAATGAAAGCTGAAAGGAATTAATTAATTTAATTGTAAATCCTCTCTCTCTCACTCTTTAATTTCATGTAATTGAATGTGATTATAGCCCGACTAAAGCTGACTTTAGTTTTGGTGAATTTCTACTTTTTAAATCATCATCACAAACGGATATTTTGAATCTTTTCACTTCAACTGTATATATATAGTATATCAGTATGAGTATATAAAATGAAAATGATGGTCCGTGCAACTTGCATGGTTAATTTTACCTCTCTCTGTCTCTCTCTCTATTTTTATCTTTCGCAACTTTAAGGGGGCGTGTAAAGAGAAATGAAACTGCGAAAACGACAGTGCAATAGAGCGAAGAAAATTAGTTGAAATGGAAAAAAATACTAGACAAATAGTGAATGAAAATTATTTAAAATAGTGAAAAAATAGCCTCGAAGTTACGTGACTATTATTTTTTTTCACCTCAAATACGAATATTTAACTACGATTTTTCTATTTAGCTATTTTTATAAATAATTTATGTTAATGACACTTATTTTGTTAAAAAATACACTAATGGTACTATTTCTACCGAACTTTTAAAAATCAATTTATTTACTGGAAAAATTAATTCCAAGACTCTAAAAAATTGAAGACGTTAAAAATATCTAAGAGGAAAGTAAATTAACAATTGGAATTCCTTTTTTATATTGTCAAACTCTCTAAATTTGATTATAAATAATTGTAGAATTACAAACATTAACGAATATTTTGAGATTCAAGCTGCTCTCCACCTGCGAACGCCAAGGTCGCCACTAGATGGCAGTTCAGTTCCTTCTTGGAATTTTCACTGCCATCTGGTGGCTACCTTGGCGTTCTCAAGTGGAGCAATCAACCACCATTTTAACGCTCAAAAACTTTTCTACAATTAACAAAATGCAAAAACCACACTCCGAATATTCTCTGACACTTTGGTAATGTTTGATTACTAATAATAAACATAACAATAAAGATTAATTTAAACAGTAAAAAAAATTGAAATAAAATAAAATACTGTTTAAATAAATCAAATAATAGAAAAATAATCGAGAATAAAAATTATTTAAAGATGTAAAAGAAAATAATGCATAGAACAATAAAATTTTTATCACTCTTGTTTTTTTCTATTGTCCACATTGAAAGAAAGAAATCTCTTACATTTTCACTCGTGTCCTTGTCTATGCTCGGTGCTTTGTAATCAGTTAGTAATGTTTTGTCGATGTCTGGTGACTTATCGAATTCAACCCATTTCGAAGAACCCTCTAGCTTCCTTGATTGAGAATCAGAATCGTAAATAGCGTAGCCAAAGTGACCGGCATCGTACTCCAATTGATTTCCGTATCGATAACTCGGATTAACTGAACCTTGACTGCAAATAGACAGATCTGACTGTGAAAGGCCGGTATTAGTACTTCCAAATAGCTTCGTGTTTTCGAAACCTGAAAAAAAAATTATTTTTTTTTATCAATAATTCTCGTTCTTTTTTTTTGTTTTAGTATTGAAATTCTACTCTGTTTCTCTGTGCAAATACGAAATTATACTCAATATTTTCTTTTTATCTGCGAAGAGAAACATTTTTGTTTCTCTTTGTATTTTTTTTTTTTTTTTGAAAATTCGCTTTCTTTTTCAATAATATTTTTATGAATGCAAATTCATGTTTTTCTTTTTCAAATAAAAATTTTTGTGAATAAAAATTCGTTTTTTTGTCAGAAACATTTTTATGAATAAAAAAATTGTTTTTCTCTTTTCGAAACATTTTTGTGAATGCAAATTCGTGTTTTTCTTTTCAAAACAATTTTTGTGAATAAAAATCTATTTTTCTTTTTGAAACAAAAATTTTCGTGAATTAAAATTCGTTTTTCTCTTTCAAAAACATTTTTTTGAATAAAAATTCGTTTTTCTCTTTCGAAAATATTTTTTTGAATAAAAATTCGTTTTCGTGAATAGAAAATTTGTTTTTCTCTTCCAGAACCATTTTTGTGAGTGCAAAGTCATGTTTTTCTTTCTCAAAAGAATTTTAATGAATAAAAATTCGTTTTTCTCTTTCGGAAACTATTTTATAAATAAAAATTTGTCTTTCTGTTAGAATATTTTTTTTTTGAAAGCAAAATCCTGTTGCTCTTTTTCAAAACAAATTTCAGTAAATAAAATTTCTTTTTTCTCTCTCAAAAACATTTTTGTGAATAAAAATTCGTTTTTCATTTACAACCAAATTTTTGTGAATGAAAATTCATGTTTTCTTTTTTTCAAAAGAATTTTATTGAACAAAAATTCGTTTTTCTTGTTTCAAAAGCGCTTTTGTGAATCATCCAAAAATTCTTTCTATAATAAAATTTCTTTTTTGGAAAACAATTTTTGAAAATAAAAATTCACAAAAATGTTTTTCTTTATAAACAAATTAGTGGTGACAGTGAATATGAAGAGGAATGTTATAACGTTATTAACTGTGACTCGACAAGTCGTAATATTGTCGTGAGCTCGCAATTACATACATTGCACTAGTAACAAACGCCAAGGATTAAACTAGGTCAACCAGAATCGAAATCCAGTGACAATTTCACTAATGGTTGAACAAACCAGATTGGCCTGACCATAACCATATCAGAGAATTTGTACCTTTAATTTTTTTCCTCCCAAAATTCATTTTAAATTAACTGGAAAATGGAGAAAATTGCTTCATTAATGAAAAATATGATAAAAATTGCAAAATTGTGTTTAAAATATGTGATCAATTATTAATCTAAGGGAAATTATTCCAAATTAAAAATTAATTCTGCGAAATTATTACATTCACAGAAAAAAATAAAATCTCAGAGAAAATAATATTATTTTTACATTTTACTAATAACAACAAAAAAGTACAAAAGAAAAATAAAAAGCTTTTTCAAAAATATTTTCCATGCTTAAGAATGGAAAATATTTTGGAAAAACTTTTTTATTATTTTTCTTTAAAGAATAAGTAAACATTCTTTGAGTGGTTTAAAAATGTGATGTTCAGTTGAAGTGCATTGAGTAAGAGAGATGTAATATATTTACCGCAGGAGTGATCTTCGGGAATTTCTTCTCGGTGCACCAATGCTTGCTGATCGGTTACCCTTCCGGGCATGTCGTCAGATGATCCTCTATTGACATCAGCTTCATCGCTCTGGTAGCCAGGTTGAACTTCCACCACAAAAGAACAGCCATTGTCCTGGTATTTTTTGCCTTTGTTGTTGTCTTCCATCGTTACCTTTTGCAAAGGAATTTCAACCATTTTAACATCAAAGCAAAATGATAATGACTAAGTCTTTTTTGCAATAGGAGAAACGACTATCTCAGAAGCAAAATAAAAGAAAAGAAAACATTGAAACCAATTATTTTACTCCAATTATTACGTTTATTTTTCTAATAAATAATAATCAATAGTCATTTTTACGCTATTATGAATAATCTATTAATAATTAATATTAATTTAATAGTAATTTAGTCATTTTTACTAAATAATTCTAGTAAATGATAAAAATCAATTTTGTCTTTTCTGAAAATGAATTTTCGAATGAAATAAATAAAAATAAGATTAAAATAGACTTCGTGTAAAGTAAAGCATTAAAAAAAATTTTTTGAATCGAGAAAATCGTTTTCTAAGTTTAATCATTATTTCTTTCGTGTTTGAAAACTATAATTATCCATCGCAGATGATGTGAATTAAATACGAATTTTTTTCCAAATTCCTATTTTAGAATGAAATAACTTTAACAGAAAACCAATTTTAGAATTTTTTTTTTGAGTTAGAGGAATTTCTGAAAAAGGATCGGGAATAATTTAAGAAAATATCTACCATCTATTTCCATTTGGTTGCAATTGGCAGGAGGGGTGGATTTACTTGTTTGCGAGAAGATTGAATCTGGGTAGATTGCTTCTACAGGTCAAATGACCCAATTTTTTCCAAAAACATGTCTCATTTTTTACTATTTCTGTAGGGCAGACTTGGCCCAGTTGACACAGTTATTTGAAAACAAAGAAATTGACAAGAAATAAAAAAAAAATACTGCAAAAGAGGAGGATTCTTCAAAAATTAAATTCTTTGCGCTCTGTGTTAAAATAGTAAAATTAATTAGAAGTTATTAATCATTCTCGAAATTAAATGACTTCTCATCAAATTTTCCACAAGTTTTCTGGTTTCATAAAAAAAGAAGAAGAAAGGAAAAATGGTGTACACATATACCAGATATGTATTCTCTCTTCCTAAAATGGGAATCTATTGTAATTTCAGTGATTTTTCTTTTCGAAACTCTCGTTTCATGGGATATTGAAGATAAAGATTTTCTGCAGATTTTCCAGAATAATGTCACCCTCAATCTTCAAGGTATAAAGATTATGTTTTCAAGTCTATATCTATATGTACCGGTTTGAAAGCAAAAACGATATTTCAACTCTGTTCACGTAATCCGATAGGACAGCTTTAAAAAGTGGAACGGAGATCGATGTGCCGAATGGCAAACCAAGTGTACAAAGTACGCGCGAAAGGCTCATAGATAGACCTGGTCATCTGTGGATAATTCATAGCAATTTAATGAACCTATGATGCGTCCAACAGTAACCTACAAAGTTCATCGGTCGAGAACTATTTTATCGCTTCACTAAATTTGCTAAAACTTTCATTCTCTTTTTATTTAGCGAGACACTTTTGTTTACATTTTTTTTCTTTCCTTCTTTTTTCTTTGTTTTGAAGGGGGGAAACAATGGAAATTTTCCACCGCACTGTACTATTTACAATATTTTGAAAAATTATTAATTTATTGATTTATTCTCAATTTTTAGTATTCTGAGATTCTTTCTTTATAATAAATAGTAAATAATTATTTGTAATTTCAATATATGTTAATTTATTTTTTTACATTGAAAATTTATACAAATCTTAATTCATATTAAAAATTAACTTTACATATTCTCACTGAAATTTTAATTTTATTTTTATTTTCATAAAAATAATAAATACAGCGAATGCAGTCCCCCTTTTCCTACCTTGACACTTTTTTATGCCCTTAAATTAATAAAATACCCTAAAACACCTACAATCTAAATTTTACCTAAATCACGTCCTTCTTACCCCTTTTCTATAAAAAAATTTACAAAAATTGAATTATTTTGAAAAATTTTTAAATTTTGAGGAAGAATTCAATTATTTTTCCAACTGTTAAAATTATTTTCAACATAATTTTAATAAAATTTCTCGAAAGAATTCAATTATTTCAAATAACTTTACTAACATTCTTCGTAAAATTTACATTTTTTATAAGAATTCAATTATTTTGAATACAATTTGAATGATACACTTCAAAAGAATTTAATTACTAATTTTTATTAATACAATTTTAATAAAATTTTTTAAAACAATTCTATTATTTTCAAAAAAAACTTAAATAAATTCTTCGAAAAAATACAATTATTTTCATAAATGAAAAAATGCATCACAATAATTCAATTATTCTCGAAAAATAATTTCTCGAAAGAAAATTCAATTATTTTTAAAAATTTTAATAAAATTCTCTGCAGAAATTCAATTATATTGAGTAATTTTTAATAAAAATCTTAGGAAGAATTTAATTATTTTCTCAATTATTAAAATTCTTCACAGGAATTTAATTATTTTCAGTGCAATTTTAATAAAATTTTCCAAAAGAAATCAATTATTTTTAATACAATTTTAATAAAATTCTTTGAAGCAATTCAGTTATTTGCAAAAAAATTTAAATAAATATGTACTTCGTAAAAATTCAATTATTTTCATAAATAAAAAAATTCATCGCAAATAATTAAATTATTCTCAAAATTCTCTGCAGAAATTCAATTATTTCAACAATTTTTAATACAATTCTTCGCAAGAATTTAATGGTTTTCAGTACAATTTTAATAAAATTGCTCAAAAATTTTTTTTTAAAGAAAACTTTGATAACATTTTTTGCAAAAATGAATTTATTTTCAAAAATGATAAACGTTTTTATAAAAATTCAATTATTTTTAATATAATTTTATTTATATACTTCAGAAGAATTCAATGATTTTTCATACAATTTTAATATAATTCTTTGAAACAATTTAATTGTTTTCAAAAAATTTAAATAAATACTTAGAGAAATCCAATTATATTCTTAAAAAAAAGAAATTTATCATAATAATTCAATTATTATAAAAAAATTACAATTTTTCGACGGAATTCAATTAATTTTTAAGATTTTAATAAAATTCTCTGCAGAAATTCAATTATTTTGAAAATTTTTAATAAAACTCTTTATAAGGATTCAATTATTCTGAAAAGTTTTGATAAAATTGTTTATAAGGATTCTATTTTGTTGAAAACGAATTTTAATTAAATTTCTCGAAAGATTTAAATTATTTCCAAAAAACTTAAATAAAAGCTTCGAAAGAAAACAACTTTTTGCATAAATAAAAAAATTTATAGAAAAAATTCAATTAATTTGAAAGATTTTAATAACATTCTGTCTAGAAATTCAATTATTTTCATAATTATTAAAAATTCTTCGCAGGAATTCAATTATTTTCAGTACATTTTTAATAAAATTGCTCAAAAGAATTCAATTATTTTAAAAAACTTTGATAATATTTTTTCCAAAAATTCATTTATTTTCAAAACTGATGAAACTAGAAATTCAATTATTTTTAATATAATTTTATTTATACTCTTCAAAAGAATTCAATTATTTTTAATAGAATTTTAATATAATTCTTAGAAACGAAACAATTCAATTATTTTTAAAAAATGTAAATAAATACTTTCAAATATCCAATTTTGAAAATTTTATTATAATTCTTAGCAACTATTCAATTATTTTCAAAAATAACAAAATTTTTTAACAGAAATTGAATTCTTTATTCCTTTTTCAATTATTTTCATGAATAATAAAATTTATCGCAGGAATTCAATTATTTTCAATTATTTTAATAAAATTCTTCGAAAGAAATCAATTATTTTAAATACAATTTTAATTAAACTTTTTTTAAATTATTCATTTATTCTTTTAGATTTCAATAAAATACTCTGTATAAATTCAATTATTTTTAAAGATTTTAATAAAATTCTCTGCATAAATTCAATTATTTTGAAAAGTTTTGATAAAGTTCTTTAGGAGTCAATTTAGTTGCAGACGAATTTTAGTTAAATTCCTCGAAAGTTTTTAATTAGGTATTTTAAAAACTTTTTATGACATTTTTCGCAAAATTTCAAATATTATTTTCAAAATTTTTGATGAAACTCTTTATATGAATTCAATTATTTTTAATACAAATTTTAATTAATATTCATGAGAAGAATTAAATTACTTTCAAATATTTTCTTGAATTCAATGCTTTACAGTTTACATATTGCTTTACACAAAACAAGAATAAGAAATATCAGAGTTAAAAAGGAAAAAAATATTTCCTATGAAATATTACAGATAATAAATAAATAAGAAAAGGAAGAAAATATTTGAAAAAAAGTCGACACAGGTATTATTTTGTAAATTCGATTGTCCCTTGAAAATTGTTAAAATTTCACGAGAACAGATGGTTTCTCGATATTGAACTTCGTTTTGAGCTATTTGTTCATGTATGAAATTCTGAGTTTAGTACAAACAGAAGTTGCTATTGCAAACTTTTGAAATTCAAAAATGAGTTTGTATAGAATCTATATACATGTGTTGCTTGCTTTCAAATACATAAACTGAAAAGAGAAAATCGAATTTCCTAAATATTAAAAGAAAATTAAAATCATATATTTTTCCGAATAATTGAAAAACGTGATTCAAAAGATGTTTCCAAAATAAATTTTTAAATTCTTTAAATTATTATTTGGAGAATATTTTGTTTCTTATTTAAAAAAAAGTATTTTTCTCAGGACATTTAGAAATTTGTCCATATTCTCAAATTCCTATATATACACGTTTCTTGTATCAAGTGTTCGAATTTAATCGAAAATTTGAAACTAGCGCAACCTAATCCTCAATATTCAGAAATGAGGAATGTAGTATCAGTTTCAGAGGTGAAACAATTAATTTAAAATTGAAATCAGAGATCATGATTTAACGCTTCAAGAGAAGAAATATCAAATATCTCTTTTGGGTGAATATGAATATATCTAAAATTAGTTTCGAAAAAAAATATATATATCCGTTCTATCAAAAAAAAGGAAGCAAAAAACTAGTGATGCACGTCGAGCGAGTCTCGTTTTAAAAAATTCATGAAAAACGG